TCTCTCTCTCTCTCTCTCTCTCTCTCTCTCTCTCTCTCTCTCTCTCTCTCTCTCTCTCTCTTTTACACACACACACACACACACACACACACACAAACACACATTCTCATGTCCATTGACGGGGAGCGCCAACGCTAGAAACTGGGTCCAGCGTCATCGTGAATAAAGCACCAACCGGGACCCCACACACACGTGAATAAAGCACCAACTGGGACCCCACACACACGTGAATAAAGCACCAACCGGAACCCCACACACAAACACACTCTTCAAGCTGTGTATAGCGAACATGACAAAACATACACACAGCATAATCACTACTTTATCGTTCCTCAACCACATCAACAAACAAACTACGGGTTGCACACTCGTGCCCGCAAGGTTAGTCAATATACATTCAGAATCAGGGTGCGTTATGTTCGGGGGAAGAGGGGTGGTTCCAAAAGCCCGATACCGATCTCGCGAGACCCTGGTTAAACCCCCTCGCCGGATGGGAGGATGGCGAATGTATCGTGCACGAGATCGTGGCCAGATGTATTCGTCATTTCGACAATTGGCGAGTGCACACTGCTGGGATCACTCCCATTCCCAAGTCTTGGCTCCCGCCAAACTTGGCTGGTTTACCCATCATTTTTGTCAGATTTCCGGTGGTACAGATCTTCCTCGGAACTATAACGCACCCTAATTTTGAATGGCATTATATAAGCTATCTTTCCGGTTGGATGCAGCCATAATGAGGTGCGTTGCGTCGGAATCTATCTACTCTATTTAAGTCTGTTGGTTTATTTTTTTTCTTTTTTCCCTGTATTGAATTCTCATCTCTTTTGTCTGTTTGCGTTTGTTCGTTTGCATTTTCTTTCTCATTTTTAAATGATTTTTCACGATTTTCTCCTCGGCTTTTCACCCTCTAGATCCGTTTGCTATCGATTCGCACTCACGTGTCCCGCATGCGTGTGTTGTGTGGTGCCCGCAACTCCTTGATCAACTTTCGTAGGCCGACAGCACGATACCGATCCCGCGAGGATCTCGAGTCCCGCAGAAAGATGTTTACCACCGGAAGTCCGGCAAGAGCAACTGTAAAACCAGCCAAGTTTGGCGGGAGCCTAGACTTCGGAATGGGAGTGATCCCGACAATCGTGAGCTCGCAAATTATCAAAATAAGGAACGCATCTAACCATGTTCTTGTCACTCTTGTGCATGATACGTCTCTCATCCTTCCATTTGGCGTGGGGGTTGAACGACGCTTTGCGACTCGAAAGTCTCGCTGGATCGGTATCGCGCTGTCGGTTTGCGGAAGTTGATCAAGGAAACGCGGGCGACACACAACACATGCGCACATGGCACGCGAGTGTGGAGCGATAACCCGAAAACGAGTAGTCGTTAATGTGTTCGACACTGGCGCTCAAGTGGAGTTGGGGAACACACCACCTCAGGTTCAACCGTGCTCTTGCTCCTTTCTCTCTCGACCTTTCTTTTCTTTATTTTCCGCCGCCCAATCTATCAACTCTGATAGTTTATCTTTTTTTTTTTTTTTCTCCTTTACAGAAAACTTTTCTCTTTTGTCTGTTTGCATTTGTTCGTTTGTACTTTCTCACTCATTTTCAAATGATTTTTCATGATTTTTTCCTCGTCTTTTCACCCTTTTGTCGAGCACATTAATCACCACTCATTCCGAGGTTATAAAAAAAATATTCGTGGATGGTTAGGGCCATCCACTTCATCGGTGCGTTGTATCCCAATGCTCGAGCTTTGCGCGCCTGTCCACGCGCAACGCGCTGTTGACGTTAACTTGTATTCAATCAGATCTTGGCCCCTCCCTTTTGTCCAATCTCTGTCTCTTTCGTTTCAACCTTTCATTTTTATTTTTTTTTCCCGGGGTTATAAAAAAATCAATCGTGGATCGATAGGGCCATTAACTTCATTGGCATGATGTATCCCAACGCTTCGGTTTTGCTGGTTTGCC